CCCCTGCAGGGCCGGCCGCACCCTGGGGGGAAGCTCTAAGGCAAACTCACCCCCTCTGTATGAAGGGCTGTGGGAATCACCTGTATGTCAACCTTAATTCAGGGCTCAGGGTTCAAATTCCAGCATTTCAACTTCCCAAAGCCAGAAAAGTCCTACAGTTGTAGAAAAGCCAATTACAAAGATGAAAAATTAAGAGAAACCAACTCATACTAGTCAGGTCAGAGCAACCCTGTTTTCTTCTTCCCGTGTGTGTGTTCAGTGCTGCTGTACCTCACTGCAGGTATAGCATCTCCTGTACTTACCACCTGAAGAAAGTTCAGCTTGTGGCATCCTGTTAGGCACACAAGTTACCCAGCCACCCTGTGCAGGATTTCACCAGCTTGCCAACTGGCATATTCAACTCCTGCAAGCTCTGTTCTAGCAGCTCTCCTCACGTCTGCAGCCAGCAACTTTCAAGTAACAATTGCAAACACATTTTTTCTTATTTTATGTACATAACTGCCTTAATTTTTAGAAGTGTTGCCCTTTGAGAAAGAGTTCTTGATCATCTCACCAGCAGTATTTTACTTCTGTGCCAGGCAATGTGAGCTAGGCCCTGAAAACTTTGCTCTTGCCCCCAGATGTAAGCTCTCAGCTCCTGTTTCCTTTCAGATCTATCCACGTGTGATCTTTTCCTTCTTTGCAATAGTCTGAAACCTTAACACTGAACCTTCACACTAGATCCTTGATCCCCTAGTCAAAAGATAACTCTTTTTCTTGTCCCTTTCCCAAATGACAGCAGGCAGCATGAAATACCCGAATACTCTTTGATGCACACACTCCATAAAATAAAGCTTTATTTCTTTGCCCCCAGATGTAAGCTCTCAGCTCCTGTTTCCTTTCAGATCTATCCACGTGTGATCTTTTCCTTCTTTGCAATAGTCTGAAACCTTAACACTGAACCTTCACACTAGATCCTTGATCCCCTAGTCAAAAGATAACTCTTTTTCTTGTCCCTTTCCCAAATGACAGCAGGCAGCATGAAACATCATTGCTTCAAATACCTGAATACTCTTTGAGGTACACACTCCATAAAATAAAGGTTTATTTCTCCACAAAACCCCAAAGTTATAGCATGTTCTTCAAACATACTTCTGCTTAAGAAAAAAAAAAAGCTTATTCTGCATAGCTATGACACTGTTTGGTGAGATAAAATTGAAGCTATTTAAATTATTGCTTCTGTGGATATATTTGTCTCCCAGGTCTACTCTCCAAATAGGCTGGCATCGGTTTTGTTGCCAGTTCTTTTGTTCCCACCACTTCTATCCTCCACTTCCAATGCAGAGCTCCACAATGCCCTAGTGCTATCCTGATGGCTGTAAATAGCACACTTGCCCTGACTGTCAGGTAGCTACTAAAATAAGGCTAGTGTCCTTTCATGTTGGGCCATGCCAGGAATCAAGAGTGACAGGGTAGTTCTTATTATACTTCACTGTACAGAATCTTAATATGGGTATGCACAAAATAAACAGCAAGCAAGTAATTATTCCTCTGGTCTCCCTTTCCAAACAGGAGTTCTAGGCTGCATGTAGAATATAAGTAGACTGAAGCTTTCAAAGCTTTATTATGTTAAAGAGCAATCCAAGTCTTTTAGAGACTGATATCCTCTCTAACCTCCCTGTTCATGCAAAAGATACAACCCATTAAAAGTAAATTCCTTCAAATAAGAATCCAGGTAGCAAAAGCAACTGTTTGCAGAAAGTAAAGTTTAATAACAGTTCAAAAGAAATTAGATGAAAAATCCCTCCCTTCACCCCACAATTCTCCCAACCCCCCAAAAAAATCGATGCACTAGCACAAAGTTTTGTTTTGTATCTCCACTGTTATGGCAACAAATTTCAGAGTCAGAAATTGCTCCAGTAATCCTAACAGACTGTTACATCTTCTACAGGTCACTTAAGAAACAAATAGCATTTAACAGCCAAAAGTCATAGAAAAGATTACACTTTCACAGTTAATGTGAATGTCATTGGGACAAAGTTAAATCTCAAAGCCTTACTACATTAAATCACACTTCACCCCACAATTCTCCCAACCCCCCAAAAAAATCGATGCACTAGCACAAAGTTTTGTTTTGTATCTCCACTGTTATGGCAACAAATTTCAGAGTCAGAAATTGCTCCAGTAATCCTAACACAATGTTACATCTTCTACAGGTCACTTAAGAAACAAATAGCATTTAACAGCCAAAAGTCATAGAAAAGATTACACTTTCACAGTATGACCAAAAGAATGTCACTGGGACAAAGTTAATCTCAAAGCCTTACTACACTAAATCACATAAATACCTCATAACTAGAGAAATATAGAATATCTGAATATCAACAGTCTACTGCACCTTACACCTCAAAGAGACTCTTCTACCTGCAGGTACAGTATTTAAAAAAAACAAACCCCAACAAAGCATAACAAAAAACCCCACACAATACAGAACCAAACACACAGAACACCACCACATGAATACTTGGAAGTCAACTTTATTTCCATAACTGAAGAAAAAAACAACTCTCCAGCAGAAAAGGACAAACTTCTACAGCTCTTTTCCAGTTAAC